CCCAGGTGGGGGCAAAGGCCTGGGAGGGGCTGGGCCCCATGTTGGCCTGTCCTGCTGGCCTCAGGCACCAGATAAAAATAGTCCCTGGTCTCAGAGAACATGAGCCGACCCTGGGGCCAAGGGTTCTGGTTTGGGCTCCTTGCTCATCTCTGTGACCACGCGCAGAACCCAGCCCTCCCTGGGGCCCCAGCAGCCTCCCCATCATGAAAGCTCAGGGATGCTGGGGCCCCAAGGAGGCTGGCCTATCAGGAGGGGTCCTGGGGGGGTCAGGGAGAGTGCCTGGCAGAGGCTGCTGGCCTTGCCTTGCCTGAGTATGAATTTACCAAGTGAATGGGGCTCCAGGCAGGGGGCCAAGCAAGGCCTGTTGGGAGGGGCAGGTCGGGAGCCCCCTCTCCCCAGGTCAGGCCCAGGCCCATAGCAGGAGCTCAGCAAACGCAGGCCACCTCTTCCCCGTTCCCTCCAGCCTGACTCTGGACCTGCTGTTTCTCAGACGTCTCCATGACAACCAGGGCCCTGGAGGAGCTGGATGGAGGCCTGGGCAGCTGCCAAGTGGACGAGGGCCTCTCTGCCCTGGCTGACCCCTGCCCAGGCCAGCCGCGGGAGGACAGGGCTCCAGGTACCCCAGAGGGCGCCACAGAATGCAGCCCACTTTCTGTTGAGCCAGGTGGCTCACCTTCAGAGACCAGGCCTTGGACCCCCACCTTAGACTGGCTTAAACCGTGCTCTCCATTTCCACGCTCCGTGTCCATTAAAGTCTTGGGGGTTCATAAGGAGCCCAAAGAACACAGGTGCTGGGCCGCAGAGGTCAGGTTTAGAATCCCAGCTTGTCAGTGAAGTGCCGTGCACCAGTGTGCAAGTCTCAGTCTGTCTACTTTCAAATCTGTAAAACGGGAGCAGTTACCCAGCCCTCACCCAGCAGAACCCGGGGCAGGGTGGGGTCAGTCCGAGGGTTCCCACGACCTTCACTCTCCCTCTTTTCCCACCAACAGTGACACCCAGTCCGGCCGACTCCAACAGCTGGCCTCAGGTGAGTAGCCTGGGCCCTTGGGGTTCAGCCCAGGGTGCCCCTGGAGGACAGGATGTGCTGGCACTGACGGTGGATGTCTGCAGCCCATGGGAAGGGTTTGGTCTCCCTTGGAGGAAAGACTGGAAGGAAACTGCCAGGATGACATGTCGCTCTGCATAGGATTCTCAGGAGCCGGTAGCTGAGGGCAGCCCCGCAGGCGGTGTGGATGCCAGGCCCAAGAAGACAGAAAAGGAGCCGGTGGCCAAAGTGGCCTCAGGACACGGGAAGGAGAGGCTGAAAACAGGAGCAAGTGGGTTTGCCGGAGACAGGGGTGAGGCGGGAGGTGGGCTTGGACCAGTATTGGGTTGGGGGTCGATCCTGGGCCGGGTCCTTAGATGGGGAGTCAATACCGTGCACGGGGCTCCTGGTGGAGTGACGTAACGAAACGGGCTGTGAGCCTCTGTAATTCATGCTAACACCAGCTCAGGTGCTACTAAGCTTCAGCTAGTTATCTTCTAGAATATTTCCGGTATCCCAGCGGAGGTGCCAAGCCGGCAGAGTTTAGCTCCTCCG